TACTTCCATAAAGATGTACTACCTCAGAAACCCAATGGGGGTCACTATGAATCAGAATCGACTCAACAGCAATGGGTTTGGTTTTTATATATGTTTTTGCAAAACAAGAAAACATTACCACTGAGAAGAGAGGGGTGTTTATGGGAGTGGGATGAAGGGTTACAATTCTACTCTCTTTATATCTCTAAGATTTAAAACGTTCACCACCAGCGTGTCCTCGTGCATTTCTAGTGCCACTGAGCAATGGTTACACCCCATCTATAACGTGAGATCCCAACAACAGTCAATCTCACTGAGCGGATGCTTCAAGCACTGGCAGGAAAAGACATCCATGATATGGAAGTGAACAAAACGATCTTCTGTACAATATACACAATGGAATCTCATTTTGGAAAAACAACAGCTCTATGTGTGGACTCACATCTGTTTTACATCTTCAGATACAACCATTCTGTTAACTGTGACCCTCTCTGAGGGATGGGTCTGGGGCAGAGGCTATTCACTTTTAACATAGTAAAATGAAAACATGAGATATCAAAATTGGCGAGATGCCGTTAAAGCAGTCCTTTGTGGGTGGGGGAAATGATAGATTCCAATGCCTCTACGGAAAAGAAGAAGGGTCTTAAATCTACGACCTCAGCTTCCACCTTAAGGAATTAGAGAAAAGGGGAGCAAATGGATCCCAAAGTAGAAGAGAGAAAATAATTAGGATCAGAATGGAAACCCATTATCTAGAAAATGAAAAAGCAAGATTGAAAATCAATGGAACCAGTACATTTATATTTTTGGAATTTTTGCCTGAGCCTGTTTTACTTTTGTAATCAAAGCCAATGATAGAACACATTTGAAAAGAACTAACAAGCCCACCCTGGATTCTGTTTGTCGTCTCCACTGCAGAGTGAGGACACGCCTGGTCTGGGTCTCCAGTGGAGCACTTGGCTGGGAAGCGGGCAGGAGGAACAGGGAGAGCCCAGACCTCCTGGCCAAGGCCCCATGGGATCCCTGGTCTAGGTACATACAGCTATGAGGACTAAGAGCGTGAGCTCACAAGGAGGAGGAAAAAGTACATTACAGAAAGAGGAGGAACTAGGGACAGGTCAGAGGACAATTATGTCAGTGGGAAATGAGATCCTTATGTGACCAGGCCAGAGGTGGGGACAAATACCGGCCAGT